ACGCACGGGCCGACCAAATTCTAAGCATGGCTTCTCGTTGATTCGTTGTAGGAATGAAATTGGCCTGCAAGTGTATTCTGCACGGACCGGTCACAGCATCCGTGGTTTGTGTTTCGTCGTTGGAACTTACAAATATCTCCTCTTCCGCAATGGAGTGCCCAAAATCTTCTTCGGCGGTACGAAGGTGGCCGGATGGCGTTGAAATCTGACTCTCGGTGTAATTTCGCTCTTCTAGGTTTCGTCTCGCAAACGATTGACTCAAAGCGATACTCTTCGCGAGAACGAAGACGCTTATATTCCACTATTACCACTTGTATTTATACGTATCCCCTAATTATCTGTCGACCTCGTAAGCGCTTATCCGTATCATGTGCATTTATATATAAAGTTACTCTTTTACGAGCTTTGTGTCAGTTCCATCTCGGTGCTGAACACACATATTTAACCACTCTCCGCTTTCATTGTATTACAATGGTTCATTTAATTTACGTAATTCCGAATATACATACGTAAAGCAGTATTTATGATTCTATTCTATTTTCATCTGAAATGAAATTGCATTTCTAACCGCGATGATTACTTTCTATTGCTAATTCCCCTCCTTACGGTTAAATAATATATCCACTTGTGTCATGAATCAATTAAACAATTTCCTCGCAATGCGTATTAATAGCATACTCATAGGTTACATTCGAACCTAAAATTAGATTCAGCCTTCTTTCAAATTTCTGTATAGGGAAACCCCGTTACAGGTCTAGTTTTACATACAACGGAATGTTCTACGACCCAATGAAGTCGGGAAGGTCTAACTTGGTTATTAACCCTGAAAAGAGGAACTCGGTCGTTAATATTGTTGCTGTTCATCTTAGAACAGACTCACAGCGACCTCATTTCCTGCTGGTGGGTCAAGATGTTCATTTAGAACAGATTCAAAGCGACCTTCAAAAGTAAGGAAGCAAGTGTAGCGTTAGGGTCGTAAATCCTACCGTACACCCAAGCAAACTTACACTGTAAGAATATGAAATGTTATTTGAATTATTATACAGATTGTAGAGAAATCTACAATCATTCTTGGAAATTTCGTTAACAGGTGGCAGGGCGATCAGTTACAATAAAATGATAGCGAATCAATTCTCCCACGTACCGTTGTCATGTGTGACATGGACTATGATAAAAGAAAAACATAGTCCATGGCTACTTAGACTAAAAACTCGTGAAAACAGAATCTTTATAATTAATTTTTTTCACTACTAGCGTCTGATGACATGATTATTAACCTTTTTTCCACTTGTAAAGTAGGCTTTCTCGGCATTTGTTCAAAGTGGTTAATAATTTTTTATTATTAACTAGTAGTCAATAATGAGAACTGTCACGCTGTCACTTTTAGAAAACACAACCCGAAATTTCGCTCAATGAACGTTTAGACAAGTTCTCTAAAACGAATAATTGCCACCATTCGCAATTTCCAGAGAAATTACATACCTAAAATTATCACATTTTGAAAAAAATCGAACGAAATTACTCTTTGAAAAATCTCAATGACAGAACAAAATACGGCCTGTTTGACTTGTACTTCCACGTACTTGATTGACATGTTAAATTAAGAAACAAACAATTCTGTCCAACCGTTAACTCTCTTATCAATATAATATGTTAATTTAGAGGATTTCAAGTGCTAGTAGTGAAAAAAATAGTATATATACCACGGTAGAGAAGTCTATTATTGCCTTCGCACCTTACACCCCTCGGCGCAAGCGCCTCGAGATGTAATCTTGGTGCTCAGGCAATAATAGTGGACTTCTCTACCTTGATATATAATGTACTATTTTCGCGTATAAGAAGAGGTAGAATAATCGTTTCACATGATTTAGATGCAGAATATATATCTCGATAACTTTTATTTGAAGTATTTTTGCGTAAAATAATTAGGAAACGTTTGCGCAAAGAAAGTCATTTCACCGCCTATGTTCCACTTTTCGATTTACAGCCTGTATGTAGCAAGAGCTCTACTGGCTCTACTATCAAGAAAGTTGGTGACCTTTGAAATAAGAAGGAATGGTAAGTAAACACCGAAAAGTTACATTTTAGGAATTTAGTTTAGGATTTCTAACTTTCAAGTCTGATTCCTTTAGGGTACAATAATACCAACCAACCCTAAATAAATAGCTGAGTTGGGAAATTAAATATTTTTAGTAAATAAACCAAGCGTAGTGATAAATCGCCCTTTAACTTTGTCTCGGTTTATTTTTTGGAAAACATTCTCCGTATTTTGAAATATTAAAAGCAAATGCGCCCATTTGTTTATCGAGGGGCGAGTGTTTCCTTCTGAGAATTGAGTTCGTAGGCAAGATTTATATTATTTAATTCGAACGGTAGTGCGGTATCGACTACCAACATTAAACAAGGCGTTAATAATTCACAGGAGGGACGTCGGAATGTTCAGTGGGAAAATTAGACAGAAAATGTGCCGAAAAGAATTTTTCTTAAGACATACATCAATTACAAAGTGACACGAGTTAGATCAGTTTCGCTAAATTTTTATTAAAAGTATTGTCTTCAATTATAATTATAATATTCAATAACGGTTATCTTGCACATTCGTTTTACGTAGTCACTGGCGTTCGTAACGCAACATGAAGGGTATAATTACAAATTTGACCCTGTTTGTTGTAATACTTTCCAATAATAACTAACTCTTCACAGAAAAAAAATGTAAAAGGACTTACATACGTGTTACTACAGAGCCGTTGAGTTGCATGAAAAACGAAAAAGAAGATGTTTTTTCTACCTGGTAAATGGGGGTACGCAGATCTGTCTGTCTGTCTGCGTAGACGTTTTTCACAGATTTTACTTTGATTTTTTCTTGGTGTTAAACGTAATTTGTTGTATAACAAGAGAGCGTCTTCTACACAAGTAACCAGGGCTTGCTTTTGGTGTTGAAGGGGATTTTCCAGGTTATTGTTGAACATTTCAAAGGTTACAAATATCTATACACGCGAAAGGGATAATAATACGTTAATGTTCACGCTTCTGTAGACAGCCGAATACTAACAGGAAATAAAAAGTCTTTACAATGCAAAACAATTTGGAATGCATGCCAGAAAAATGTTGGTGTTTAATTTTATTTAGCGCCGAGTGTCTTAAAAGATCCGTGCGATGGAGGCACCCTCATTCCGAAATGCAGTGTGTAAAATTTAAAGACAATTAATTTATGCAATTACCCGCATCAAACCCAATTAATAAATGGACAAAATTAATATCCAGTACAGTGGGGAATCGGCTTTTTGTTCCTGTGCATAAACAAGTTCTCGATCCCTACTTTTCAGGTTTGCCTGTATTCGCAATTCATGCGGACAACTTTATACTGACATTTCCATTCAAGGATATTAACCTGGGGATGCCAAAAGTTCAGCTGTACCGTCACGAAGCGATCTGTTTCCATATTTCTAAGTTGAAGCTGTCTTTTCTAAGGGAAAGAGTATTAATTGTAACCGAAAAAAGTCCAGTCTCATCGATAACTGTCAATAATTTTTTGATTTATACAAAGTATTGGTCGGTTATTTTTAGTCACAATAATAGTGTTTAACATAATCATAATATTCCTAAAGGAACCGACCTACGAAAATCATTTGTGCATACCAAAAGATGTGTTGCACTTATTGATAACAATCGGATCTAAATAAAGAACTCTGGTTTTTTCATTAGTTAGGAATTTGTATTCGATTACAGTGATGGTCAATTAATTCCTTTATGTGCATTCATTATTCGTTGTGCGTTATTCGAGTTCAATCATACTAGAGCATCGGGATTTTGAAGTTTAAAGAGGAGATAATAGGCCATAACTCCCCCAAGGTAAGGCTGCAGGTAAAATAGAATTAATCATTTTAGTAAAATTTTTGCCAGTCCGGTTAATTGTATTTTATGCAAACAAGGATTTTCGACCCTTGTATAAATGTAAGTAAACTAACTACGATTTTACGTGTTATTTACCGTAACGGACCTGAATTTCCTCTCTTTCCATGTAATTCTTGCCGTCCAATAAAAAGAGGGCAGCGGGCGTTCCAAAATCTGAATCTGAGTTTAGAATAATGATAAAACGTAAAATCCTTGAAACGTTAACATAAAAAACCACAGGCAATTCTGCTACAGATCCGTGCGTTCTCAATGCTTGCTGGTCAATATGTATATCGCGACAGTCGTTGTTCAGCTTTAACCCGTCAGAAAGCCCAAAGAATTGCTTTATTATAACCTATGCTATGTGATAAAATGTTCTTATTCATCCACCCGTTGTCTGAATGCCAGTGAAGACAACGAATCGAAGTAAATTCCTTTGTCGTACCTACAGGAAGGCAGTAGGTATAGCATGCCATACTTTTAAGGGGTCCGTTTGCAAGGTTCTCGAGGATAAAAGACACGGAATTTTGTATCAGAATGTTAATAAATAAGTAGGGTCTGCGACTGAAACATGTATAAAACATTTATTTGTGTTCCTGTGGATGCAGTATTAACATATATTAAGGCCGGTCACTTCGGCTAATAAAAAACATGAATGCAGTTCCATTCTTAAAGGGATTAAGGACGGACTTCCTGACTATTTATTTTAGGCCGTTCCCATAAAAATTGATTCTACATTTAGATTATGGAATTAATGATTGCACGCCCTTCGTCTCTCTTTTGCCTAACATGTACCTCGTACATAATTTAATACCCCACACTAAGACTACCCTAAACTTGCCCAAAGATAATCCCTCACAAACTTCGCCATGGAGAGATCTTTTGGAAACGGGCACGGAAGCGAATACGAATGGTTTTCATATCAATAACAGACCTTTTCGCATAAAATTACCTCCGGGAAACACAATTATTAGTTAACTACTGTTGAACGTGAGTGCACAGGAGGTAACAAGAAACAGAAATTATTATAAACAGTATGTGTTGCTATGTAGGCCACGAGCTACGTGATTTAGATTAGAATTAAAATAAATAAACACGGTTCTGAACACGCAGATAAACTTTGTATTTAAATCTCATTATTGTTCAAGTTGCTACGTGTCCGGGAGAATATGTTCTACCAGGTCCTGCTTCTGCTGTTCTACGCGCACGCAAATTGTGAAGACGCAGAACAACCGAAATTGGTCATCGAACGTGCAAGAATTGATGTATTTGTAAACGGTGCATTATAATTATGTACTTAGTCTCATTTTTTAGACTTGTGCCGGATGTAAACTATACGACCTACCCGATCTGAAGGAATTTATATTCGAGGATTTCCCACAGTATGCAAACACGGAATTAAAATTGAAACCGGGATTTGATCCAGTTTTACATTTCCTGACTAAGGATGGGCAGACTGTCGAAAGTTTGTTTCTGACCCCATTAAGCAGGGAGGCATGCAACGATCTGCTAAAAAAGCACGGATTTGTAAGAAAAAGTGACAAGACCGAGTTGTAGCTTGCCGAGTTTTTAATGCTTAAAATTACTAAATAGGGTAGTTTCCTTGTAGATTTTCTTAATACTTTCGCATTATTCGTAATAAATTCTTGTGTATAATATCAGTTAATTTATTGTATCTAGAGCGCTTGGGATATTTTCCAAATTAATCGACTCGTGGCGAGACAGGGGTTGAGAGGGATGAGATGGGAAAAATAAATAACGTTGAGATGATTCTTATATGACGCGTGTAATAGAGGGGTGGAAGTTCATTTTTATACAGACACTAGACTTGCTTAAAAACTGATTTTCGTGTTTTGTTTGATTTAATTGGGTGGCCCCAGTGAAAGCTAATGAAAGGGATCGTTTTTATTAATTGGATGCAATAACTAATTATATCTATTCGTACAAAAATATTAGCGAGCCATATACTATGTTTAAAAGTTTTTATCGACGTCAGTCAGTGTGTACGCAACATAAAGGTATATGTAATGCATGTAGTTCTAATTTTTTAATCCATTGTGGCATTCGAAAACAGTACTACAGGGTGTGCCTTGGGCAACGGACGTTTTACGAACGGCACTGTACTATTTTAGAGTTTAAAAAAATGTATTGCCAAAAATATGTCTCCATGACGAGGATCTTTAAGCCTTCGATGAAACCACAGCTCCGTCTCCGGCCCGATCTGGTTTAGTCTACCATTGAACAAATAAACTGTATTCAATGTTTGTACTCAATTACGACATCAGTTGAACTCATACGACTACGGCTTCGAAGGACCATATAATTTGAAATTACATTTGCGCTTGTCAATTGTCTAGACACCAACGAATAAATATTACTTGTTGTTATTGCGATTTACGCGGTTACCGTTTACGTTTTCTTAGATTCTCTTAGAATTATTAGATACTTACTGTTTTTTCGCGTTTTCACTACGGGAAAACTCAAATTAAGAAAAGGGGGACATTGGAAAAACAAAAACAAGTTAAAAAGTAATCGTAAACGATTTACATAAAGCGCATTTCCACTTGCATTCATTTCCCATTTGTAAGATGCAACTTCTGTTAAAATCGTAAAAATCCGCCTACAAATATGAAAGATAGCGTTGCACATGGGCAATCCATTGTTGACGTGCTACTTCAATTTCAGTTTATGAGAAGAATTTCATTTCAATGCTTTTCTAAATAAGAAAGTTGGAATTGCGCATGCGCAAACCTAAATTTTAAAACTAATGTTAGATTTTCCTTTGTTCCAAGCGCCTAAGTATCAAATTTCACTTAAATAGTTCCATAGATAAAAAAAGTTGGCACGGCGCATGCGCAAAATAAAATTTTGAAACTGGCGCTAGATTTTCCTTTATTCCAAGTGCCTATGTATCACATTTCATTTAAATTCTTCCATAAATAAAAAAGCTGGCACTGCGCATGCGCAAAACCAAATTTTGAAATTGGCGTTTGATTTTCCTTTATCCCAAGTGCCTATGTATCAAATTTCGTTTAAATTCTTCCATAAATAAAAAAAGTTGGCACTGCGCAATGCGCATGCGCAAAACCAAATTTTGAAATTGGCGTTTGATTTTCCTTTATCCCAAGTGCCTATGTATCAAATTTCGTTTAAATTCTTCCATAAATAAAAAAGTTGGCAATGCGCATGCGCAAAACCAAATTTTGAAATTGGCGTTTGATTTTCCTTTATCCCAAGTGCCTATGTATCAAATTTCGTTTAAATTCTTCCATAAATAAAAAGGTTGGCACTGCGCATGCGCAAAACCAAATTTTGAAATTGGCGTTTGATTTTCCTTTATTCGAAGTGCTTATGTATCAAATTTCGTTTAAATTCTTCCATAAATAAAAAAAGTTGGCACTGCGCATGCGCAAAACCAAATTTTGAAATTGCGTTTGATTTTCCTTTATCCCAAGTGCCTATGTATCAAATTTCATTCAAATACTTTTATAAGTAAAAAAAGTTTGCAATTCGGTTTATAAATGGTCGAGATGCGAAAAGGGCACTGTGAATTTTGAATCGATTCGATTTAACTTTTGGCATTGCGTATTATATGGTTAAAGCTATGCCCATATTGAATTTCATGCAATTCAGTTCATAACTAACGGAGATGTAAAAGCGATCGAACATTATTCTAAACAAAGTTACCGTTCACACGGACATATAGATGGACAGACAGACAAAGGAACAGACGGAGAGACCAACCGGCAGGCGACAGATAGCAATGCAAAATTATAAACGATCTCTAGGATCGTTAATAAACGGCAAAAGTGTAAAATTATAGAACATGTAAAAAAACGGTTTTTTGTTTTTTTTACAATAACTTTTTTTGTAAGCGGTACAGAAAAAATTCCTTCCTTGGTACAAGACTCGACACCCTAACGAACCAAATAGCGAAAAAAGTAGAACAATAGCTCTTAAGATAAAAAACTAGTAGCGTCGCAAAGTTAGCGGACGGACGGACGGACGGACGGACAAAGTGGCCACAATAGCGCATTTTTTTTTATTTTTGTGGAAATGCGCTAAAAATGTGTCGGTGGCAAAATCCGAGGCGTCTCGGAGAAACGCAATGGTTGGTGGAATAATTGACGAAATATTGGACCAAGTCGAGGAGCAGAAGCAGTCAACCAGATTTCAAACATTTATTAATGGAAATCGTTATGAACGTCGAATTGAACACTGCTAACGAAGATAATTTGAATACTTTCGCGTGGGGCTCTTCAAATGAATACGAAAGGTTGCAAAACATAAAAAATATGACTTCAAAACTTTCAAAAAATGAGTGAAAACATTTTAAAACTGGCCGTGTCCACTTCACCAGCCTAAACTCAAAATTGTATATGAAATAATGAACCATTTGTAGCAAAAATAATTCCAAGTTGGATATTGAAGTTGAAGAGTATGTTCCAAAGTTACATGGATACAGAATCGTCGATATAGATTACATTCTGCGACAGACGGCGGTCCTTCAAAGCAAGCATTCAAAAAAATGCACTGGCGGAATGCTCGTTCTCCAGGAGGAAATACAAAAAGGCTGAGTTAGTCAATTTGTATATGGATGCAATATTTATGAAAAAACGAAGATCGTGTATCGAGCTACAGAGTGGGGAACTCTTGCGACAGGCAGTACATTCGCACACACCTTTTCTCAGCATACTGGATATTCCCCCAATCCATGGCAACATGTTTTTTGATATTCAGAGGAATTTGGGAGATGTAAGTTAAATAGTAAAATTGCCATCCATACTGCAGCTTTTGCTCAAACAGGTCTGGAAAGATTCCCTGTGGCAAAACATGGAAAAGGCTGGCTAAGGAGAAAGAAAGATAGCAGTGGCACATGGAGATGTTGATTTGATACTGATGGCATTCCGTTTGTTACCGTATTTCTTGATGGAGGATAGTCAAAGAGGAGTTACGGCCATAGCTACAATGCAGCATCTGGCGTGGTAAGGTCTCGCCTAATACGTATTTTCAATTAGAATAGATAGTTATCATAAAATAGGAGCAAGGGTTTAAATTTTCTAGACAGTGATTATTGGCAGAGCTACAGGGAAACTTATTCTTAGGAGTTCGGAATACGTTTTGCTCCATATGCGCGAGGGCGCAAAATAAGAACATCGAGGCCAAGAAACATCTCTGTTTCCGCAATTGGACCGGGTCATCGTCGGCTATGGAAGCTGATATATTAGGTGAGGGCTTTAACAGCAGCATTAATATGCACAATCTTCGTTATAAAACGTTTATTGCAGACGGAGATTCGTGTGCAGGCTGTTTCACGCAAACCGTTAGACACCTAAAAGTATTCAGGCTTCCATTAACAATTTAAATCTGAAAATTTGCATACCAACACAGTTTTTAATGATCTATCGATGGAAAATATTATCATGATCTTTTCACTTTCGGTTTTTCCAGATGTCGATGGCAACTTTCTTATTTAAATAGAACACCCTATCACAATTTTTGAAAATCTTAAATAAAACGAACAGCATAGCAGATGGGTATAGGGAATGTAATAATTGATCGATGTAGAACGTTTTCCCACATTTGGCAGTGCAATAAAAATAATGCAGGTTTAATTTGAACAAATCAACTTTATTTTAAGGTTTGAAATTACTAAAATTGACCGTTAGTTTTAAAACACCCTGTAGAAGAGCGATCAAAATTTAAATCACTCTCATGTAGCATCAGGTCAGTATCGTTGATTTTGGAAGACTTTTTGAAATTCATATCAACGGAGCCATAAATACAGGACGCTAAAGAAAAGCAGTCAAACGTCAAAAATTTTGAAAAATCTAATAAAATATAGGGTGTGTATTAAAATAAGAAAGTTGCTACCCCACATCTGGTAAAATCGGAAGTGAAACGGTCATGATAATATTTTCTTCTGATAGATCACGACTTTGTTGGTATGCAACTTTTCAGATTTAAATTATTAATGGGAGTCCAATACTTAGGTAACGGTTTGCGTGAAACAGCCTGTATAGATGTATAATATATCAATACTCTTCAAACTGTGCTATACTTTCAGGTAGTAAAGATTGAATGCACAAACTACGCAATTAAAAACTACAGCAAGCACCTATATAAATTAAAAAATGACACAAAAAATGTGGCACCTGCTACTAGAAAGCTACTTTCAAAAGACACCATAGAAGCTCTTGTCAAGTTCGCTCAAAAAGCTATTTACGCAAACTCACATGAAGATATTGCATTCTCAAAAGGTTGGAAATCATCTTGTTCAGAAGCCAAAGAGGAAATTGGTAATAAATATCAAACTTTGATATCAATAGGGGGGGGGGGCTGGGGGGGGAGGAAGCAACAGATATATGCGGCTTTGCATCCACTACTATCGAAAAGTGAGTTATTCATCGATCGCGAAACCAATAACCGCGCGGAACTATTTATCAGCGTGTTGGCGAGATTCAATATGGGCAAGCGTCTCAACCTCATTCAAAGAGATGGCTTTCAAATAAGGTCATTCCTGACTGGATTGCGTTACAATGAGGGGAGCACCTGGCACGCCGAATCCTGGAAGCGCTGTTTTAAAGACAGCACAGGAAAACACTTTTAAAGGTATATAGAAAGGAGGAGAAGAAGGCGACTAAGCGAAAATCGTTAT